GGAGACCCAGGAGTTGGATGGAAAACCCTGCAACATTGGCACTAAGAACTGCAAGCAACCGCTCCAATGGCCGATCAGGAGCATCATGCAAATTAAATTGAAGATCCTCATGAAGACCGAGGCCATATTGAGGAACTGCAACCAGAGAGGTCAATCAAAAATTGTGCACATCAACCAAGGTCCAACACCGCTCATATACATATGTGTGTGTGTTTGAGTTGTGTAACTGGGTGTGGGGTGTGTGTATGTAGACGAAGAGTAAGGAGCTACTAGATAAGGACTCTTGGAGCATTATCAGAAGTAGATCTTATAATTTAAGTTATAAGCAATCTTTTAAAAATATGTTTAAGAATATATCCATTTACTTTTCGAATTTTTCCATTCTGGAGCTCCCATTTGTAGCATATTTTGAACACAATTTTAATGGATTTCATATTCTCAAACATTTCTATATAATTTACCAGCAACTCCTTACTCAATGACATGGTGTGTGTTTCGGTGTTTTTGATAGTGTATAGGTGTTACATCTGGGTGTGTGAGTTCCACATATTGTATATAAAACCAAATGTCTCAAGTAAACGAGAGAAAGAATAACCCAAACGAGAAAATGAAACTTGGAACTAGGAAATTTTATATTAATTTTTATTTTACTTCGGAACTTGGCCCATAGTTTTTTGTTTTTTTGTTTGTGACTTTTGGCGTTTCCAGCTACCGGTAAATATAAACAGTTATTGCAATTATGCCAATCAAAGCAACTAAAACAAACCAAACCACAGCCATTAAACAAGAAATTACTCAATCAATCGGCGGCGCCTCCGTCTCTCTCCACTCTGTTCCCAGAAGTCAATCTCCGTTAGCCGATAAGTATGCTACACAGATCGCAACAGAGTGGCCCGGAGTGGAGTGGAGATATGGTGCGGCCGATAAGATAACATAAGATAAGATTAGTCTAGTGTTAGGCAATACAACAGTGTGTCCGGTGTGTACTTTGTGTACAGTGTGTACAACCTGAGCAATCAATCAAATCCAAACTCAATCAATTCAAAGTCAAATTCAAATTCAAACCATTTCTACGTTTTTTTTTTAATATGTGCAAAATCAGCTGCTAGATTATGGTACAAGTGTTCATCTTTACTTTTGTTTTTCTTTTTTTTTTTTTTGTTTTGTTTTACGTTTTGTTAAATATAATTATGGACACTAAGCCGTTCAAACGTTCAAATTATCGAAATTGAAACTCGTATTTTACAATGAAAGCGTTTTTTTTTTTTGTCTGACTTTCGCAGTTTTGTTAGTAATTGAACTACGTAATTCTGTACAAAAGTTTATTGTAAATTGTAAACGAACCAACGAAATATTAACCAGAAATTAATTTGAAACGAAATAACCAAACGAACGGTAAACGAAAACATAGAGCAAGAGCAGGAACACAGAGATTGAGAGAAACATAGTGAGCAAGAGAGAGAGTTAGAGAAAGGCAGAGAGGGAGCGGTATTGAGATAATAAAAGAAACGCTTGTTCTTTGTTGTTGCATTCAAGAATTCAGTGGCTGTAGGCTGCGTGTGTGCGTGTACATGTGTGTGTGAGTGTGTGGGTGGATGTCACTCCAAAAAAGCTTAGTTCTTTTTTTTCTTATTTTTCTTTTTACGCGCTCCTCCTGAAATCTTTTGTACAACAGAAAAGGAAAAGGAGGCAGAGATAATAAATATATAATAATTGAGAAAAGTGGAGAAACCAAAACCAAACCGAAACACAAAACAGTAACAAAAACAACAAGTAACAGTAGCAGCGGCAGCAAAACAGAGTTTTTATATTACACAGAGAAAAAATATATATTCACATAAAGAGGGATCAAGAGGTTCTACTTTGTAATGAAAAATATTTTCAAATGGCAAAATTGTTCTAGCTTTTATGATAATAATTTTAACATATCAGATTAATAACTCTATATATTTTTATATAATTTTCCTTATTATCTGATATTTTAAAATTATTTTCACATTCGTTAAAATTTTCTTTTACATATATTGTTTCATTATTTTTCTCTGTGTATTTCGGGCGAGAGCAAGAGAAAGTGGAGAGTTCGAAAGCGCGCAGCACAAAAGCGAAAAGCATTGAGAGCAGAAGTGTCAATCAAAGTGAGGTTAGTGAGTACGATAGATACGATATAGGTTAAGGATATGTGGAAAGCGTTTGGCACGGGCCCACAAATGTATGCTATAGAATACGAGTAGTATGTGGCTAGATATAGTACAGTGTTCGTGTTCGATCTGATTGGTCGTTGGATCAGTTTCCCTGCTGCAGATCGATCTCATGTGTGTCTCGTGTCTGGATCTAAGACCTAAACTACAACAGAAGCAGCATCAGCCAGTAGCAGCATAACTCATCCGACTATGTACATATTTTGTGCGTGATTTGATGCACTTTGGTTGCGTGTTTTTACAGTGGTAACATTCTTCTCTTTCTAGTAAAAGCAGGAAAGCATTCAAAAAACACACACACACTAAGCAATCCGTAATATCTCCTGAGATCTGTAGCGTTTTCATGCTCTTCACAGCGACTCCAAGGCCCAGCTAATCTGGGTGGCACAACGATAGGAGATCTCCGATCATGCCCATGCATGGGAGTCAAAAGCTACAGCTGAATCTAGCAAAGTATATATTACAGTATCCTTTTTTTTGACCGATTCTACATCGTGGGAAGAGCATGAAAAGTGCTTCGATTTTACACCGAAGATCGTCATTTTCTTTTGGTTTGTTGGCTGCTATTCTATTTTTTTGTGGCTAGACTCTCTTCTTCGTTTTCGTAGCATTGAGATTTTCATAATGCATCAAATGGGAAATAGAGATTATGTATGGCAAATATCAATCAATCAATCAATTAAGGTAATTAAAAATGGCAGTCTCAGAAAATTTACAGAACGTACGAACGAACGAACATTAAAATCAAGCAAACATGATCAACGAACAATCGAACGAACGAACAATCGAACGAAATTATGCACTAAACTCAATTTTGGCTTAAACATTACTCAAAAAATGTGAGCTATGCCGCCACCAATTAATACATAATCATAATTTCAATCAATCAATCAAGGCTTTTGGTTTTTTTTTTTTGTTATCAATATAATAATATACTGAAGTTGTTGTGTTGTTGATTTGATTTTTGGTTTGTTACTTTTTTATTGGATGGTTTACCTTGAGAATTAGGTTGCTTTTTGTCAAGCCATCTTTGTCTTTTCTGTGCATTCTCCCTCTGCGATCAGCACTTTTTTCTGTAGATTCTGCAGAATCTAAAAACCATATATATACACAGGTATTTTAGGCCCTGATTCAGCTAGGTATTTGTATTTGTTTTGTTTTATTTATTGTGGCTCTTAAACTGATTTGTCATAAGCATCATAAGTTGGTTAGTCGCGTTTAGCAGAATACTTTCATTTAATCGCTTACGTTGAGCGTATCAAAAACAAATAAACATAAATCATAATATGTATATAATATATACGGTGGTTTCCAATCTTAGGCAATGTTTTACAAGGGTCTGAAGAAACTGTACTTGTACGTATCTCATTGGGAGGGTGTGGTTGTGGAACGGGGTTGGGGGTTAAGGTGGGGATTTGTGGGCGGATGGGGATCCTTTTGGATATATATAGAGATTAAGCACTCCTCAACCCTTGAGTTGCGGAAATATGCCTTCAACAGAAGTTCAAAGAGTTGTACAAAGTGCAATGAAGATATTGATTTGAGTGCTTCAAAGTCGGCAAAAGAAATGAATAGGAAATCGTAAGACGTAAATCGTAAATCGTAAATCTCGTAAATATATATAGATTATCAGAATACCAACAGAAGCGATAAATCGGAGACTCAACTGAAGAAATGTGAAGAAAGCAAAGGATTCTTCCCGCGGCACAAGTGAACGAGTTCTCAAGCGTAGCGAGCACGTTAGATGGTTCGATAAAAAAATACCCAAAAAAAAAGGATATACATTTTCGATTCGATTTGATTTGAGTGTGTCGATACGAGTATGTCGGCGATAGGTTGTGCTATCTGGACTGTGTTTAGTGTGTGTAAGGAGAGAGGAGTGTGTGTGTGTGTGTTGTTCCGGCAGTTATTATTCTGCGGGGATATATGTATATAGTATATTTAGTATATTCAGGATCTGGTCTGGGTGGACTCGAAGCGCAGCAGGCGCACAACACGAAACAAACATCGGGGGAATCACACAACTGTATAATGTACAAACTGAGTTGGCTTTATGGTACAGCGATTTGTCTGGTTCTATGTCGGTTTTTTATTGGATTGAGACCTTATAGACACACATATTAAGTAGGTTGAGGGTTAAGGTTATCAATATACTTGGTAAACAAAACGATTGGTAATCGAACGCAAAGGATTTAAACGTTTATAATCATAGAAATCATAGACACAGAGGTTCCATTTAACAACTCAACTCAAAGTAAATTACATAGTTTTTTTTTTAACATTTCTGCGCGCGCCTTTCACAGTTTTTTTTACAATATCAATTAAAAGATATTTTTACTGCCGCCACACACATGTACGTACACATGTAACACAAGGAAAGTGAGCACTTTGGGGATACGAGCTTACAGTTAATATTATTCTTAACCCCTGACCTCTGACCACTGACCTAATTGCCGTTGCCTAGATATAACCTAGATCCTCGAATCTGTTCTTGTGGTGTGGAGTGAACGAGTAGAGTTATGCTGATCTTACGGTTGAGAATTTGGAGCAACAGAAAAAAGGGAAACAGGTACTCGACAAAGGACCAAAGGATCCTTGCGAAAAGTAATGACAAAACAGAGGACTGGCATATATAGACACAGAAAAAGTTGAACAAAATGAGGGTCAATCTGATCTTATGTATAGAACATACAATTTAAAGGTAGGTTACTATTTAAGATAATATATTCAAAATAGGAATACAAATCGTTTAAAATTGAACGGAAATACTAAGGGAATTATTTCCATAAAATTTTAGATCTTTGAAATATGTCAAAGATCTTCAATATCTTCAATGAATTATTATAGATTACAGATCAAATTGACTCCTCCTTTTCCCCTGTGTGTATATATCTTACAGATGTGTTTGATACAAAATGAAAACCAGGGAAGGAGTTAAAGTGTAAGTAAGTTTGTTATGCAAACTAAAGGAGAACAGGTAACGAAACTAAAACTGAAACAGAAACTGAAACTAAAGCTGTAACTGAAACTGAGGAAAACTAAAAACGGAATCGAGCGTTGCCAGAATGAGCCGGGTGTACTCACATAGACCTCCTCCCATTGGGACACATAGCGCACGAGGCGGGACAGTCGGAGCAGTCGCACCAGGGAGAGCAGCTTGGCCAGGCGCAGGATGCGCAGGGCGCGTCCGGCATGCAATATTTGAAAAGAATCAGAGAAATCCTGCAATTTCATAATCTTAATCAAAATGTATCGTACTGTTTCTTACATACGTTAACTTACTTGATTGAAAATTAAAAATATATAATCTAGCGGTATCGACGAAATCAAATCGAGAAAAAACCAAGTTCTTAAATAGTGTTTAGCTATAAGCTTTGGATCCAATATTACTTGTTCAGCGTTGTCTTGTTGCATAATTCCTGAAATCAGAATATTCGGCCGAGAGAGATATATGGTTAAGCAGGGGCAGAGTAACGACGGGTTTGGACATGAAACCAACCAGGATAACGAGGTGGAGGGTTTTTTTAAAGGTCTTTGTTTAGTTAGTTGGCTAAGAGAGGGGAGAAGTGAGTGCATTACCTGTTCTAAAATTGACTACAATATCTATTAAAAAAATAGTATCACTTAGGCAGTTGAAGGCAATCCATCGTGTGCTCAGATCATCGTTGAAGAATGATATTGCGACTGGCAGGATAATAAGATTTGCTACTAATAATAAAAGCATGCAAAGGTCCCAGTAAAACCTATGGAAATAGAGAGGTTTTTTTAAGGATTAGTATTTATCTGAGAGGGACAATTTAGAGTAGAGCATACCTGAATGAACTGCACGGGTGTATGACCCAATGCCCGGAAGTTTTCTGACGTATGCGCTCCTTGACCAGCGCCTTGCGGCTGCCAAACAGTTTCATGGCCAAACGATTGTCCGTCGGCTGGAACCATGATTGCAATTGACTTTTTAGGAAATTCGCAGAGACTTTTTCCGAAACGATCGGTATGTTGGGCATGGGCTCCTCTTTCGGAGTGCCGTACAACGACACGTCATCAAAGTGTACCTGTTGCGATTAAGAAATGTAATATAATTAGTCGGGTTTTAAGATCCTAAAGAGTTGCAGGTGCCTGAGTCAAGTTCAAGTCACAGTTGAAGCGTAGGAGATGATATCAAGTTATATATTTTTAAGGATAGAGATCGTTTCTGGTAACTGATGATGATTGTAATGGATGGTTAGTGTGAAAATGCCTGTCCATGTCCATTAGTGTTACAAATAAACCTTTGCGCTTGCCATTTCGGTTCCTTGGTCGCATATTAGCAGGGCCTCATCATCGAAAGCGGTGACCAGTGAGTCGGTGCAGGTGTTTTCAAACGAAATGCGCAGGTCGTTCTCGTTCACATTCAGCACCGAGCAATAGGAGCAGCGTACCGATTCCTCACTATCGCCGCTCAGCAGGCTGCAAATGACATTGATAACTGTATCATTGATTTAACTGTAAAACGCGGAAGTATCTACTACTACTATTCCCTCGAAAAAATTCCGTTACATTTCGTATTGAATTATGCCATAAGGCGAAACTGCCTAAAATGAAAGTGAAACTGCACCAAATGGGGGTTTCGCGTATGTTAACGCACCGGTTTTATTACCTTTATGTTTACTATTAAGTACCCTTATGGCGGGTATTATTAGTGTTTATGTTTACTTTGCTGTTGACAGTTGTGGCTTTTTATTGTAGCTAACTAAAGTGACATATAGGAAACCACAGAAGCTATAGCTTACAGTAAGTCTATAGAATCGATAACCATATCATTAATCAATGAGCTGTTAAAGCTGGGATTATTGAATTAATCTGTGCTGACACGATTTGACAGAGCTCTGTCAAGTATAAATAATCCCAATCAACATTAACAAATCGAATTGTTATAGGTAGTTATAATATAGTTATTAATCATTTTGTATGGGTTTTTAACTAATCAAGAACTTTATTTCAAAGTATGTTTAATGTTACCAAATAGGTTATAGTTTTATAAGTGATTGAAGACCACTTCGTTATATTTAGGTGTTAAATTATATGTTTTTATAAGGTGATTTTCTACACAAACTCTGAGAGTTATATTTGTTAGTAGTTTAGATAATTTTATACAAGTTTTTTACTACATTCAAACATGCTAGTTTTGTTTCATTAATTTATTTTTTGAATTACGAAATCCTTGTAGGATCCGTAGTCAGGGTCAGTAGTTTAGGATCACCTTAGATCACTTCAATTTCAGAGAGCTAGTAAATTTCCACTGAAATTTCACTTATTATTTTATCAAGATCATTCTATAGAGTATTTCCATATTCGTTTTTGTAACTAAATTGCTGTTGTGGCTTTTTTGTTTATTTTTAATTGCGGCACACGCACAATGCACAAAGTTGTATCAGAGCGACGGCTGCCTGCCCTCACCTTGCCCACTTGGATGGCGATTGTCAAGGTTTTCCCGGAGCAGTAGTAGCGCCAGTGAAACTGAAATCCCGGTACCACCTCCTCCAAATACCCTCCTGATTGGGGATTTTTTTATTATTTTATTTTTTTGGAGCAAAGCCGCGACACCAAACACTGAACACCGATCTCTGAGCGACAAATCGCGTGGTACGGATATTATTCACGGCGGTTCGGGATCTATTGTTAAAGCCGGGCAGAGACGCGTGCTTGCGGTTACGTTATGCTTTATATTAGTTTTTTCTTTTTTTTTGCAGTACTGATATTTCGAGTACTTATAATACTTTTCGTCGGTGCTTCTATTATTATTACTTGCCACGGCTGCTCTCTTTCGCCTGTTCACACTCAATTGTGTGTAGTTTTTAAATGGGAAAGTTTCGTTTTAATTAAGCCTGATGAAGCTGATTTAATTTAATCTTGACCGCCAAGCGGCATTAGCCTAATGAATTTATTAGTTATTGTTGCAAGCAAACCGCAATGTATTGGATTACATTACACAAATCAAATAATACGATGAGTAGCATTTCTAAATTGTGGTTTCAAATTTATTTCACTTCACTTTGGGGTTGCATTATTTATATTTACTTTCTGTTGTGTTGTGTTTTGTTTCTATTATTTGTTGTATCTTGGTTTTTTATTATCGCTACGAGCGAATACTATTTTTCTGTTGGCAACTGCAAAACGTGCTGGAGCAGATGTTTTTATTTTGTTTTAGCTGATTTGATGACTCGACCGAGCAGACGGCGGACTCACACAGTAAATGGCGCACGGCTTTCGCCGTAGAATCGTACAAGTCTGGTATATAGAGTAGAATACCGTGGGGTACTTCGAGTTATTACAGCGGCAAACTTTTTGCGACTAACGTATGGGGAAATCATCGCCGGCAAACACTCCGAAACCCGACAACCGAACGACCGACAACCGAACGAACGATCGGCCGAACTTCGTGGCATTTCCGAATCGGAATCGGTATCGTTGAGAGCGTCCTCGAGCCCCCGTTTCCGAAAAAGAAGATATATATGCGGGTGTCGGTGGGATATTGTATGGATTTGTATATTTATACTTTCTGATCCAGCGATATATTCTTACCTCGACTATCAATTGGTCTAAGAAATTGCAGCTTTCACACAATTTTTTATTTGTTGCTATTGCCCAACTGAAATTGGCTGTCAATTGTCTAATTAAATAATTGAAAGATTGACACCATGCTGCACTTGACGCTGGTTTTTATTTGTTTTCTAGATATTTGTTATTTTTTCTAGATATATTTTTTTGTTTTGTCTTTTTCCGTTTCTCTTTACTGTTACTGGCTACTAGTTTTCTGTATTTTTTTTGTTCAGAATTTTATTAAGCTGCTGCTGGATGCTGCGGCGACTTGATGATAACCTGTTCTGAACCCCGCGGCCGTTGCACAATAAATAAATAACAAATTTGTGTTGCCTTTTAATTGATTTCGCGACGAGCGGCGACGCAAATTATGGCCAGCCTGTAATACGCCTGCCTTGGCAGCTGACTTTCTTCACTACAAAAAATACTGATGCCAATAAAACCAGACAACAGACAGACAAGACACTATTCAAAAAACTATTCCCCCCAAAAAAAAAAACGAAGCAATAAACATTTAAACAGAGAAGGGAACATAAACAATGAACATATATGCTAATATATGCGGCGAACGCGTTCTATCTCCGATTGGAATAGCTCTGATCAGATCGGTTCGGTTCGAATCAGATCAGTTTGAAAAGAAAGGAGGAAGCGTCTATAAGTCTCTTTCGGGGTCGCAATTTGTTTGCAACAAATTATGGAATTGCAAGCATTATAGTCAGCTCAATCGGTTTGTTTACTATATAACTGATACTGATAATGAAGAGCAAGTCGCTTTTCCGCATTGCCCTTTTTTCCCCCCCGTTATCGATTCAATTACGAGCTGCAATCACACAATCGCTAATCGATGCTTCAAGTACATATCTCAGCGGGGTCCTTTTTCGAGGCACTTATAGAGTCCATTGTTTATGGGTTTCTTTGTGGTCCTTTTATTTGGTTTCCTTTGAATTCTTGTTGCTGATATGCGATATGCGCCTTTAATTTATGACTGCACTTATGGTTTGCACATTATGGTTTTTAGGAGGTTTGCCTTAAAAGGTTTTTGGTTTTGTTATCTTGATATATTAATTGAAAACTATGTTTATCTGGTAGACTATTTAGTAAACATTTATTCCATAAAACTGAGAGCTAATATATATAATGAAATTGAAACAGAGAACACTTGTTCTTATGTTTTTACGTGGAACCTTTACTATTTATTTTCTTTTGATTCTTGAAATACTTTAATGCTTATCTTTGCATGTAGAAATATTAAAAATGATATAGATAACACAAATCACACACCGGTTAACAAATTTTTAAACCTATATTTCGAATACGCTTCGACTTTTTCGCCTTTCGATCCGCTTAAATTTGTGGAGTTCACTGCTCGGCCATTAGAAGCTTATTGCGCCAACTGAGACGAGAGCCAGGCTGGAGTTGGAATCTCAGTCTGCGACGGCGAATGCTAAAGCATTATGCAAATTCCAAAGCGATAAGCAGAGCGAGCAAAAAAAGCACTCAAAATACAAACAAAATAAATAAAAATAAAACCGGTAAAAGTCAGACAGAAGCTTGGCATACGCGTGATTCCCCCCTTTGTAAGCCGAGGTAATGTCTTCAATGGGTTTGAGCCACAAAACAGAAGCTAAGAGAACTATATAGTTTTGAGTCAGTTTTCTAAATTGATTTCCATTTAGTTCAAGATTGATTCAATGCTAATTTGAGGCTACATTTTTCTTGTCAGATACAATTTTCCGCATTTTTAATTCGAATTAATTACTATTTCTTACAGATAATTGTGATTCGTAAATGAGTTAATAAGTTTTAATTAAAACTTAGTAGGCTGAGTTTTCAGATTATAGTTTTTTCATGAGAATTCTTGGGGATTTTTTTGTTTAAAATATAGTTTCCATGAAAACCTTGCTTTCTATTCTTCGAATTTCCTGCACTTCTCAACATTCAGATATAACTAAAGAATTGCTTTAGAAAGTGAAATTGTAGTATTTAGTTAATATATTAATTTCTTGAACCGAAGGTTCTTGGGAAGTTACGATTTATAAAGCCACCTATTTTTCTTAGTATCTCTAAGATACATTTCCTAAATTACCATTTTAGAACTGTAAGAAACTCCCACATAATTCTAACGATCTTCAGTAAACTATTTCCCTATCAAGTTTTCTATTTTTAACAACAAAATACCACAAAGTCTAAAACCCTTATCTTAAGGAGTACTCACCGATCGCCGAGCTTGCCCTTGTGCCGACGGATGTGACGCCGGTTGAAGCTGTTCGTGCACGAGGTGGACGTGGGCCGCGATGGATAAGGACACGGATGGTGGCCCCCGAAGCTGTGGAGCTGCAGGGACGCCTTGAGATTGGCCGGCGCTGTGGCCGAGGCCTGATGGGGATAGTGATACGGATACGAGTACGGATGCGGATATGGCACACCGGCACTGGCTACCGTGATGGTGGACTCCCCGACCGGCTCGTGACCCTCGTTGGCCTCCGAGGAGCCCTCCTGCTGCGACCCGTTGCTGACGAGTGATGGGTGTAGTCCGTCGGGGCGCTGAGCTGGCGATTGAACTCGGCCTTGCGGCGCGTGAGGTCCGTGAGGCAGTACTTGTTCAGATGCCCGTTGCTGCTCACCGAGCTCTTGGGCGAGGCGGCCGCTGCGTAATGCGCGTGCCCAGTTCCTGCTCCTGCTCCAGATCCTGTCCCTGATCCAGTGCCTGCTGCTCCCAGTCCGTGGCCGTGTGCGTGGGCATGCAGCTTGTGGCATGAGTTGCTGCTGGCGCTGAGCAGGTTGCAGTTCTTGCTGCCGCTAGCCGAGCTGCTACTGATCTTGGCCGCCAGCGATTGCGGCACCTGCGCCGGACTCTTGCCCGTCGCCGGAATGGTGTGGCTGCTCCCTCCGCTTCCACTCTCGCTCCTCACCGACGCCCGGTGGCCGCCGGCTGGCAATGTCTTGGTCTTGCCCTTGAGCGAACCGTTCAGCAGCAACTGTTGCTGGCGGGCAGCGACCGCGGATAAGGCTGGCAACTGTGGCTGCTGCGAACGGGTGCACGTGGAAGATGAGCTGGCCGGCGCCGAGGAGGCCTGCTGCGGATGGGGCGTAGAGCTGGAGCTGGCCACCTGCGGCTGCAGCGAATGCTTCTTCTCCACCAGATACAAGTTCAGGTACTTGTCGCCCGGATGCAGTGAGTTATCCGACACCGCGTTCGACTTGGAGATGATCTGGCCCTTCTTCTTCGCTGTGCGTGTCTTCAGGGAGAGATTGCGCAGCTTCTTGGACTGCTCCTTGATCTTGTTGGTGCGCAGGAACGAGGGACTATTGGCGATGCACTTGAAGATGTAAGTCTCGTTCACCAGCTGCTGCTTGTCGCTGCCACTGTAGTCGTACTCGCTGTTCAGGTTGAGGTTCAGGTTGGTCAGATGGCGTCTCTCTCGCTCCCTGTCCCTGTCCCGATCCCTATCTCTATCCCTTTCCGGATCCGGTTCTGGATCTGGCTCTGGATGGGCCAACTGCTGATCACTGTAGTGGCTCTTGAGCAGCGATCCGGCTGCACCTTCTGACGACGCCGCCGCCGCTGCACTCAAGCTACGCGAATACTCGTGACAGGCATCGTAGAGCGCCGACTGGCCGCCAGTGCTGCTCACGCTTTGGGTGCCACAGCTCACCGGACTGTGACTGCTGTGATCGAGGATGCGCAGGCCGCTCCTGCTGTCGCTGGAGTTTTGCTTGGAGATGCCACTGGTGGATAGCCGGCTGCTGCTGCTCCTCTGCCGTTGACCCTGTTGCTGGAGTAGATGCTGTTGCTGCTGCTGCTGCTGCTGCTGGGAGGACCTGTGCTGATCATCGCCCGACGCCCGCAGCAGCGAGACGCTGTCCGGCGCCGCTGGAGATGATGAAGCCGCCGGCTGCCCGTTGCTGAGACTCACCAGAGACTGGCGCACCAAGTGCTGGTGCGAGTGCGAGTGGCGCTGCTGATGGTGCGGCTGCTGTTGATGCTGGCTGCTGCTGCTGCTGCTGCCGATCTCCGGGCACAAGTTGTCGCGGCTGGCACTGCTGGCGGAATCGAATCATCCAATCCCAATTCCAAGGAGATGCCGGCGGTGGAAAGAAAGAGGAGACTTCAATGAGTACGGGCACGGCAATGGCCAGCGGCGCTGGCAAGCACTCAAATTTATCTATTTCAAATTGGCAAGCAAGCTGTGGCGGGAATAGAAGGTCCAGGGGATCACAGAGTGCCACGCTAAAGTGAGCAGGAAACAGAGGGTGTGCGGAGTCAAAAAGTGTGTGTGTGTGCGAGTGTGCTAGTGTGGAAAACCGCGAGACAAACAAAGAAAATTCTTAATTATAAATATTGATTGTGCAACACAATGTGAGGAGGAGCGGTGAGGAGGAGAGGTGAAGGTGACAGTGCTGGAATAGTATCGCATTCCCAACGTCTATGTGAGTTCATCGCACAGGGGACACTCGAGGGAGGGAGAACATGCCAGAAGTCAGGCTTAATCTAAGGGGTTCTTTATAAGACTTTGCCTTAGACGAAAGGATATAAAACAAGTTTCTAGCTACAATTTCTATTTCATTAAAAATTCTTATATATACTCCCAATTTAATGTCTTCATCAGCTAACCCCTTTAGCGTGTGTACACTGTAACCGCGATGTGTGATACAATTTATAGAGACATCTATATACAATGGTTGACATGCTCATCTGGTTTCTGATCGCGCGAAAAATTCAACTAAATTAATGTATGGCGGCACGCAGGCCAAGCACTGATAGAGCCACAGATACACAAGCGCCAAACAAATAGATACACGAAGATACAGATACAGATACAGATACAGCGACTCCGACTCGGCAGATACAGATACGGTCTCGATATGGGAGAAATAGAGAGATATATGCCCAGTGGCAACGCGTGCCGCACGGTGGGCGGCATCGGGCGGAAGTGCCCTAAATCAAATGGCCAAATGGCCAAAGATAAGATAAAACTGCGACATTATGCAAGGCAGAAGCGGGGAGGGGCAAAAGCTAAGCGGCCGGAACAGAAGCTGCTTATAGAGTATTTACAGATGATATGGGAAAGTGGGGGGGGGGCATTAGGACACACAACAAAAAAAATGTACAACATAGGTCAAGGCCACATGAGATAGTATATTAAAGATACAGTTCTTGATATTTTGATCTTAAAATACTTATTTGATCTATTCATATTCTAAGTATGTACCCTTATAAATAATAATTTATAAAATGAAAGGAAATTCCAATTCAATTCATAGCCAAAGAATTTAAATTTTCCTCAATTTCCAATCATATTTTTTCCCTGTGTACAATTTGGCCCATAGTGTGCCTTGGGCAATCAATGCGTTGAAACGTGAGGCAAACTATTGTTGACATAGCCACAAAGCGGGGGCCTGGGGTATAGGGGCAATCCCAGAACAAAGGGAAAACAATTGGAGACCTATTCACGGTGTGCGTGCATCGAGCTCTTCCGTTTCCAATACCAAATCCCCCGTTGAGTGCGAAAATTGGGGGAAAAATGGCAGCAGCAGCAGTAGCAGCAGAGCAAACAGCATTTCCCATCGCCGGAATCGATGCAAATCAATTTCGGTCAATTAGGCAGCTCCAGCTCACGCTCAACACCCAACGCCAGGGGCGCAATTATCTGAAATTTCGATTTGAATTTGAATGTGATTGTGAATAGGATTTTCGGGGAATCGGATCAGGGGAACCGGAATTGGATGCCAGGCGACGGCACTTGTGCAAATATAAGTAAATATGTCAAATATTTGCACGCTAATGCTCAGCCGATGAGTGTGCACTTCACAGATACACAAGCACACATTGTACCTACGTGTCTATCGGCGTTGCCCTGGAGCTCATGAGATACAATCACATCCGCTCGTTGGAGTGGCGGCCTCTTGGAAATCTCGGACCTAATCTGGCCCAAAAGTCAATTCCGAGGAGGCGCAAATGGGCAAATCAAAGCGAAAGCATCGAGAGCTCAGGGAGGGAACGGGAATTCCAGCTATCTGATGGCTTTTTTCCCCATCTCGAGCCGAGCCTCGAGTGTTTGCCACCTGTCAAGTGTTGCAGTCAAAAGTTGGCCTTGCCGAGAACCGGGTCCCGGTCTTGGGTCCAGTTTTCGGGTTGCCATTGGTATATCAACGGGACTGAGAGGGGAAACTAATAAGATGACTGCCTGGTGTGCACAGGGAAAAAAGATCTGAATTTTGTTTTCCATAGGATATCCCAAAGAAACATTTTTAATCACATCTATGTTAATAGAACATGTACAAGTTCCCTCCATGCTCATTGATAAGTAATTATTAACTTCTAATAGCCAAAATATATTTTGGGCTAATTAATCAGTTCTGATAGCTAATCTATTATCGTGATTACTGTGATAAACAATGTTTAAGTTAAGCCTATCATAAATAAATAACTTATCTATCCTCAACCTATACCTTGTTGTAATAGTCTCAAAGATAAAGAGATCTACAGTATTGTAGGTAATGATTTATTTTATACCAAAGTGAACAATTTCTTGTTTTTATTGGATATGCTTTTTTTAATTATTTCAAAGACCCGAAATTATTCTATATAATTCAATACCAATTTTAGTATTTATCATGAATAGTATCGAATAGAATCAAGCTAACTTCCGGAAGCCGAATTGTTTACACTTTTCCAGTCAGCCTTAGGATCATGGGATATATATCTGTATTCTAGGCATATTAAATCTATATTTTTATATGCTAATTTTTTGTGTAAGTCATCGTTTACCAAGTTCAAGCTTTTGACTAAAATTATCATACATCAAGGGAATAAAAAAACACATAATACGGATTAAATACAACATTTAATTCATTTAAAATGTTATTTATGTTCTCAAATTTCCATATTATTGAAACTACCTGAGAATATTTTATGAGCATGAGTTCATGTTCCATTTCAAATTAGCAATTTATTGATTAACCATTATTATAAATCATAGCGAACTGTGTGTATAATATATATGTATATTATAATTGATTATTAAGGAATAAGTATTTAAAGTCAAAACAAACATTTTATACTTCCTAACAATTTCCAGGTAATATTTAATGATTAAAATTCTGTACAATAATTTAAATACTATTTTCCCGTGATGTAAACATCTTTTCAATACCTTAAACCCCCTGTTGCTAGGCCGAATTTGAATAGAGATAAAATCGGGATGCAATTCAATATTATTTTCTCGCTGTGTGTGGTTTTTTTCATATGGTGCGAGGCCTGTCCCAATGTCAACTTTTGGCACACCGGAGTGGCCCTCAGGCCAGGGGGATTAGCCGTGTCGAGTGCAGGCCATCCTCGCAAGCTTTTGGAAACGAGTCTGGCGGAGAGCAGGTTTCCGCCATCGAGATGTTGCTTCCTAACCTCCCCCCTTAAAATCCACGCCCCGCGAACGAGACACAATATGCCTCAATTAATAATTCAAAAGCCAATTGAAGGCATTAAGCGTAAATTCGTAAGGCGTACGTAATTGAGTCGCTTGCTGGCCTGCCTGCATTCCATTTCGTTCATCGATATTAAATCAAGTGCAGCTGTGTGAGCCCCCTAAAATTAGGGGGAATTCACAACTAAAATTTACATCCGAAATGCAAGTCTTAATGGAGATTCAAATTGCTGCGCTCTAATTTCCCTGAACTCGATTTAATGTGGCAATACTTTTCGTGATCTTGAACTTTGGAACGCACAATGCGACCACTTCAACTATTTTTATACGTTATATACTGCAATATTTGCTTGAATCTTTTGGAAAATGTTCAATATGCAATTTAATGGCCCCCACGAATTGAAAGCTCCTGCCAGGCGAAAATCAAACAAAATTGAAAGCAAAATTTACCAAACATGCATACTCGATCGATACACACAGTTTTGCGCTGTAAACAAATTACGAAAATTTCCATTTTTAAAAGCCAAAATGTTTACTAAATGCGCTGCCAATCTACAAAGTCGGAAAGTAGGAAAAGTTTATTTGAACAAATATATATTTACAATTTGTTTTCTGTTCAAAAATGTATCAGAAACGGAAGGCAATATAAATTACATAAAAATAAATACGACTTCCTTATCTAGTTTCAAGGTCAAGTAATGGGAACATTTTAAGGCGGAAATATAATGTGAAAGTGTATTTAAATGCTGTAAATATTTATAAATTGCATATAAATTGTAAATTTTCGAGACAAATATTAAGCTTAAATAATTTCTTATATGTTTTAAGCAATCTGCAAGAGAAATACTTGTGTAATTAATGATTATTATGGGGAATAATAATACCAAGACTCGTATTTCAAGTTAAAAAATTCCCTAATCAATTTTAAATGTACTGATATACAACAATGGCCAAGGCTAACAATCAGAATGCGGCCCCCAATGACCTTCCCAAACCGAAAATCTCCGGTTTTGGCCACTGTAAGGTCATCGCAATAACACACTGAGGGGTAGGGAGGTTTACGAACGGGTCATCCCGTGTTATTAATATGGAAATGCCATTTTAAATACACACAGGCACAGTAATTAAATTTGGGCTTCAAAAGATTTCCGGCTGGACAGGGAATAATAATCAACTGGCAGCTTGTTGGTGGCTCAACTATAAATAACGCGATTTTCGGCTAACCAGAATTCAGCCAAAATTATTCATTAATTATAACGACAGCCGAGCAATTAATAAATCAGGCAGAGAATAAGACAGAGAGAGAGAGAGTGTGTGAGAGGGAGGGGTATTGAGCAAACAAGAAATGCTACATCACTTGTGGCATGCCAATTGTAAATGAATTCAGATTCGAATTTTGTGATGTATAAAACGTGGGGGAATCAACAAGGTAAGCATCTAAAGGGGTTAAGTCAAGCTAACGATCTAAAGGGAAAAGTCATTAAAGCGATATGCATTCGAAACTCGAGGGAGCTTGGCAAAGTGCATCATTAACTTATTACTTTCGCTTGTGAAGCAGTAAGTGGGTTGGGTTTGGGGAATTGAATTTATAAAAGCGAGCAGTAATAGCTTTAATAGCATTAAAAAATGTGTTTCCAAGTGTTTTTCTTTCAGTGTTGCAGTTGTAATTGTAACGGTATTGTTATTGGTTTTGTATTAGTATTAGTAGCAGAGAAGTACCATACAGAATCAAGCTACGATCTATAGATATAATATGTATTAGAGAGAGAGAGAGAAAGGCAGAGACACTGAGAGACAAAAAGAGAGATAGATAGAGAAAGTAAGGGGATATTCGGAACTTTTGGGCGGCGGTACCTTCGCTGATGTTGTCTATAAATCGATCCGCAGCAAATGTAACTTGCAAAGTTTGCAGTTTCAGTTTCAGTTTCGGGTTGTTTGGTTTTCTTTTCTGGTTTATTGGTTCGGTTTTTTTTTGGTTCTTATTTTCTGTATTTCTTTTTTTCAACGTATTTTTTGTACTTTTAAGCAAAGTTTTCTGCAAAACAACAACAACAAGGACACGAAATAAATCCAAGTTATTCACGTGACGAGAAATTAAATGCCAAACAGAAAGTAGAAACAAAACGAAACGAAAAGGAAACGAAACTGAAAACTAACAAACTGAGCGGGAAATAACTAAAATGAGATTCTTTCGGGGATAAGAAATTAAATTAACTGCACAAAGCACACAGACACGAGGGAGTCGAGTCCTGCCCTATGTGTGTGTGTGTGTGGTGTGTGTGGTGTGTGTAGTGTGTATGTTGCTGTCGAGTGTATGGAAATCTGGAACTAGAAACTAGCTCAATTGGAAACATCGGGCTTCCTTTCCTACACAAAGGAAAGAGCAGCTTATCGGTAGCCCTCTGCTTCACTCACTCGCCCACACATTGTCGCCGTCTCTGTCTGTTCTGGTAAGGATGTGGTATGTGTTTGTGTGTTGGTGTGTTTGTAAATCAGCTATGTATGTGGGTGGCAACACAACATACAGTTAGTCGGCAAGCGCTTATCGATACATACAAACACACACACACATACAAAGGCGCGCGAACAAATGCAAGCCGAAATTCGGTCAGTGGTTTAATCATTGAAGTAAAGCGAAAGCTTCCGCTCACATCACTCACACAAGTACAGTGGCGCCCAAATGTATGCAACGTGGCGTGCTATTGCACTTAAAGTACTTTGACACTATTCTGAAGCGAGGCGGCGGCATTGCATTGTGTGCGTGATTGTCCGCTTGCATTAGTGTATTGGTTCGGTATTGCTATCGGTATTGGAATTGGTATTGGTATTGGTATTGGTATTGGTATTGGTATTGGTGTGGCCATTGTTTGGCGACGGCCTGGCTTGACTTTTAATCTAGTTTCTAGTTTCGTAATTGCATTGACTGGAGTGACGGATGACCTAAGGCGGAGGCGGAAATCAGTTCACAGCAGGACCAAAATGCCAAAGCACTTGCCATCGCCTCGCTGTTTTTCACTCGCTCACACACACACACTCAGATGAACGTGAACAGTAACAACAACAACAGCAATTGCGGCAGCAGCAACAACATCAACATCAATAACAGGGTAACTCAAGAGACGAAAATAGAACGGAACAGAGAGACATCGAACAAAACGTAATCGAACGAACGGAACGCAACAAAGGAACAACACAATAAAACGGGATCACTGGAGTGGACCCTAGTTGTATTCAATGTGTTTGGAGTGTTCAAAGGAATACAAGGACTTATATTCATATACGCATAGAGTCAACAGTGCGGATAAGTAATAAATATATATTAATATCACTCATACGCAGTGTTGGTCAAGTAGGGTAACAGTCCGTATGAGTAATAAATTTATATTAATATTACTCATACGCACTGTTGGCCAAGCAATCTACACTCGTGATTATAAAAAAAGCTATGCCGAAATCTTTTTTAATTCAAAATATAATATAAATTTTTTATAAGCAAGAAGGCAACGGTGCGTATGAGTTATAAACATACATATATTAATATTACTCATACGCACTGTTGTTCAAGTAATGTCGCTTTTCGCTTAGAAAAAGCTAAGCTGAATTCGTTTACAATTAAAAATAGTTTATATTTTAAAGATTTTCATTTTTAATAAGTAGTTAACTTATTTTGAAGTGACTTTACGTTTACACATGTATGTAGGTCCATCCCAGTGAGCACATTAAAAATGAACATAAATACATTCATCTCAAAAACTGTACAAAGCGGTGTGATAGATCGTTAGTCCAAGGATGTAATGTGTGCGTGAGAGTGAGAGAACAAGGATCTTCGGGATATATGCCTTGCTCACACTCACACACCTTGTGTGGACTCTGTCTAACACACCCCGTACAACGTACATCGTGCACAATAACAGTACAAAGACAGACAAGGATGGAGGGTGAGCATTGGTGTCGCATACCGTTGATCGTTGGTAAAGGTTCCGAAGGCTCCAGGACCGCTGACTCGGCGCTGAGTGTGTTTAACGTGCATTTTCTTGAACCCACGCCGTCGCCGCCGCTGCTGTCACGTCACCACCTGGTCTCGAACTGGAACCACATCGAACCACTCGCGCCACCTTCGTTAACGCAACGTAACGTGGTGTCGTTATTTCGGGGTATATATATTTTTGTTGGTGTTTTTTTTTATGATGTATTGCTATTGCTATTGCCGCCGAGATGGCCCCGCCGCGTTGCCCCTAACTGCAATTCTTGGCCTTGTCATGGGCATGGCGACCGCGGTGGCGTGGCTGTGTGTGTTTGAAGGTATCCAGGTGTGGGTGTAACTTCCGCTTCGATTTTTGGCATTAACTAATACACAGGTCCAGCGCGCACACACACACGGATAGGTAAACAAAAATGAATTGCTTTTCGTTGTGTGTTAGTTAGTCTCCGTCTCCGGGTGTCTCACTCGCACGTTATGCTGCTGCTCCTTGCTCTCATCCGTGTTGTGGGTTTCAGGTTAGGTTCTCGCTTCGACTTTTTTCCTGTTGGTGGGTTCTTAGGTGTTTGCTTGGTTGGTTGAGTAATAACTTAGGTCGGTCGGGGGAGCAGGCGAAAGGTGTCTTCTAAAAGGTAGGTAGCCTCTAAAGTAGTCAACAGCTCTGCTTGTATTGCTTATAATTCTTCACTTTTCGTTTCAATTCGTTTCGTTTCGTTATGCGAATGTGTTTCTTCGTTCGTTAGTTTTGAGGTTATGTGACTCTATCTGTTTTTTGAGTTGCGTGTATAATAATACCATATGTTACTATTTATAGTTAAGCTATCGTTTTTAGTTTAGTTTAGTTTACAGCGCTCTATTCGGGTTATTCGTTTGTACTTTGGATTATAAATGTTCTCTATCCTCTACGGTATAGTTATTGTTGCTATTCGGTTGGTTTTGGTGGTGTACAGATGCGAATGGTGGGGCCTGGAACTGGTAGTGAAACTGGAACTGGTAACGGTAACGGTAACGGTAACTGGTAACTGGCGCTGGAGGACCTGAGCTGGAGCTGGAGCTGGAAGTGGGGTGGCAGGATCTCGGGATCCGAGTCTGGATCGTTGAATTATTTATCACAAAACCAACTAGCTGCGGGCTTGTGTTAGATGATGATGATGACAGCTCCGTGTTCCCCCTCTTTCCTCTCCTCCCTTGTTGTCCACCTCCTTCGATCCCTTCTATCCACCTGCTTAAGTTAATGTTTGGTCATGAAATTTTAACGAACGCGCCGCGTTTTGGTGTTTGCGGGTCGCCTGTTGTCTGCTTTTTACTTAGTGGATTTTGTGGCAAATGGAAGCGACGCGAATTAAGGCGGAGAGTTACGTCAAGGCAGCGGCGCAACACGGGAAACCCAAAGCAGGCAGGTAGCTCTCAAATTCGTCCTGTACGTGTGTACATATGTCCTGGTATCCTTGTATCTTGTGTATCTGTATATATATATGTATATATATCGAGCCACACGCGAAGGAGCAAAGGACCAGACCCGGACCCGGGCTGTGTCCCTCCTTGGGATACCGTGAGGCGACGTCCTTCGCCACCCAATTAATGCATTAATCGACCCTCGTTACTTATTCAGATGCAATTTCCCAGGGCCTAGGTCGAGGGCGAGGACTGAGCTCGGGTTTGGGTGTGACTTGAAGTTCGAGTTGGGGTTGTTGTTAGCTTTAGCGGCATTATAAAAATAAATCCATATAGGTAGATATACAGACTGGCGTTTATCTATATTCGCTAGAGGCTAGGTATCTTGTATATATCTTTGTATATATATATATTGTATATAGAGAGGCAACTACTTGGTAGTTTTTAGTTAGTCGTTAAGTGCGTTTATGTTGCGATTATTTGATTTGCTGTCCTACGGGCGTTCTTTGTCTCTCTACAAACTACGAGGTTAGTTCCATTACACTATCTCTATATCCTGGGGCTGTAACGACGGGATCGGATCATCGAGGGATCCATCGGTGAAATGAACGGCAACGAACTACGGTTTGTTTTATGTGGTTAGCGTTTATCGTTAATCGTTTATCTAATAGCACTTTCGAATATAGCGAGTGTCCTTTTTTGTATATTTTTAAAAGTAATTCTATTCTTGGATTTGGTTTTCTTTGCTTTTTCGTTTATTCGTTTGCTTTTGGGTTATGCTTTTAAGATTTGCTCAATTTCATTGCTGCAGGTACTTTGGTTTTGGTTGCTATCATTACATTCTATTTTTGGTTATCGCGTGTCCTTTATTTTTAGGCGTTTCCAAGGGCTTCGCTTCGACTGCTTGCTTGCTGCTTTCTGCTGGCGCGTTGATTAAATAATTCTGCACTTTGCGTCGATTTTTCGTGTGTGTTTGCTTTCTAGTCCTTGGTATCTCTTTAATTCCGCTTTAGTTTTATTTCTTCATTGTTTGTTTTTATTTTTTTTAGCAAGTCCTTCTATTTGATTATGTAATTATGCTTGGTTTCTATTGGATATTGAACTGTACGTGTGTCCTAGGGCGCTCTGTACGAGGTTCTCTCTGTGTGTGTGCGATAGTATTGGTGTGTGTGTTACATGCGATTTTTCAGCTGCTGTGGCTGTTTGTGGTGGTTTCGTGGGTTGCGATGGACGTAAGTGGTTCGTCATCAACATTTTTCGCACATACATACACAATTCACGGGCGCCACACGTTGTATATGTGTGTGTTAGCGTATTAGGCTGCGTACGTGTGTGCTCTGTGTCCTGTCTAGGTGAAATTTATTGAATGAAACGTCAAGCGATTTGACGAATTTTAAACAAATTATTTATAACACACATAGAAAGACACACGGAAGCACACGCACAGACACACAACGCACACGAGAGAGACACGCACACAACACAGCAACAACAGTCGTGGCACGGAAAAACAGCACTCAGGACACAGTGGGTGAAATAACGGAGAAGAAGGAGAGGTAGAACCAGAAGAAGAAGAGCCACAAGGTGGAGGAGGATGAAAGTGGGAGGAAGTGCACACGTTAAATCAATGCTTCTTTTGACCTCTATTACATATTTCGCTCGTCTTTCCTTTCGCTTCCTCCTTCCTCGCTGCTCGCTCCTTGGTCCTTGCTCCTCGCTTCTCGGTTCTCCTTCGAACTACTCTTTCTCCGAAAACCCACGGCTACCTGAAACTTTTCCAACGCCCGTGTTACGGCACATTTAATACGTTTTCGTATCAGATACACAATCACTTCATTACTTTTCTCTTCCGATTTCGATTTCAACTGTGGGGTTTCTATTTGAATTTATTTCGTGGCTGTTGTGTCGCGCTGGCTCCTTTCTTTAACTGCCGTTTAACTGTTTATCACAATGCTGCTTTAAATTATTTTATTTTATTTTCGGGTAACTCTCAATGAGCAGCGCACTTAAACTTGCTATTGAAATCTCTCTTTATGTAACGAACGGAATAACGGCACACACTCGCTGCTGCTGCTACTGCTGCTGCTGCTGCGACACGAACGAACTCAGCGCGACAAGTGAAACTTCGCTTTCCGATTCGCATGCACTGACGTGCGCCGTGAACGGAGCCGAGCCTGCGAGATTCGCTGAAAATCGATAAGGACAGGCAAAGTCGCCTGCCAAAATGCAGGGGGGCGGCGGGGAAGGCCGTGGCAAAGGCGAACGGCACAAAAGCACATTCTTGTGCGGCCAAAGTGAAACCGAGAGCGTGTGGGTGCGCGGCAGTGAAAGTGCACATGTCCTGAGTGTCTCATGTCCTGTGGCACAGTGTAGGTCATTTAAATTGCTTGGATTTGGATTTAAAATTGGATTGCCTAAGAAAGCATTTCTATCTAACAATAATACTTATTCAAAATTGTATATCGTTTAAACTGTCAAAAATAAAAATAAAATTAATTAGCTTTTTTTACTTTAATTTGGAATTTTTAAACTTCGATTAGTCGAAAACATTGTCATATAAAAATATCTTTAAATACGGTTTCAAAGATTTCGATTTGATCCTATAATTCAATTGCAAACTGCAAGAGTATATAAACTTCGGCTGCCCGAAGATATTTTATTTTTCTTAATTAATATAATTATATCTTAAAAATTAAATAATATTGTAGATAACTACCTTGCTTTTCTCGCCAATATACCATCTTCGACTTGCTTCGTTTGTTTATACTCTTTCTTGATCATCTAATTGTCTGGATCTCGCCATTGGCTTTTTCGTTGCCTCTCCCCTGTTGTCACGTTTTGCTGAGTTTATTTAAAGAAGAAAATAAAAAAGGTTATTAGTTTAGTATCATTATTAAGTATATTTATTAAATTTTTATTCCATTTATCAAGATTGCTTAAGGCAGGCTTGACAGTTCAAACACCAAAGCCTACATGTCGTATGAGTAATATTTGTGACAGATTTGTAACCTTTGCCAAGAGCACTAAAATTAGTTGCTATAAATTAAATTTATTTAAGTATTTTAATGCCCAACGAATCCCGTGATATTATATCAGATTATTGAGACATCTACAAAAAAAGAAAGCTAGATATATCTCAGATACTTAACAACTTCAACATACTTTTAGGCGCCTTTCGAAGCTATAGCCATATATATGTACATGTACCAATAATTCAACCCGCCACTGTAAAAACTCGCATGCCTTTTTGGACAAGAGCGCGAGTGCGCATTTGCCAGGCTCTCAGCTCTCAGGCATATCTGCTCATCCGCTCGATGGCTCCCGGCTGCACAAGCAGCAGAAGCCGAGGCCAAAATGGAGAATGAATCGGCAGAGCCGAGTGACTGCCTCGGGATTACACAGCAGCCTTTGTGTTGTCGCCCTGAATGAAAAGTCCGCCAGCTTGAGCGGCCATCAGCCATCAGCTGGGCACCAACGCTTTCTCAATTGCGCTGCCCACGCGAGGCGGCGTCCGCACCAAGTAAACAAATACATGTGCGCACGGCTGTGATAATAGGGCCGTCGCGCACATGTTTCAGCTGTAAGCGTGTCCTTACAGTGAGCCATGGCCGCAGACGCCAACGTAAAAAAAAAATAAGATAAATAACTTAGGTTCAGGGCAATTTGATCTTATTCAAAAGATTCATTTTATCATATTAGTTCGAACTTGAAACGATTAACGAAAATTGGAATTTATAAAAAAAATCCAATTCAGGGTCGAATATAAGTTCTTTTAAATCCAGATCGAATTGGCCATCATTTTATGTAATATAATTTAACCCTTTTTAAGACTTACAAGCGGAAAACGGATAAAACTATTATTGCAAACACGAGGAGGTGAGGTAGACTACTGACTGTTAGGGAAGCTCCACCTCCCCTGACCTGGAAGTTGCCGAAAAAGAAGGTGCGCGCAGCTTGAGCGATGGCAATTGTTGCACTGA